ACTCGAGTGATTTCGAATACTTGACTATTGTTCTTCATGAGTATGCAGATTTTGAAGACTTTTATTATACGTGTTACCAGTTAGTTGAATATAAAGTCTTCTTTTATCCTCATTGTTTTCTCAAATATGGTTCATATCCCATTATTTTAGTGTTAGTTTATTTTGTTATAAGCTCATTTTTTTTTTGCCATTATCAGCTACTCTATAGAGAAAAAAAGAGTCAACTATTCGAAAGAATTCGAGTTTCTGGGTCTGTTGTAATCTTTCATTTACCTAGATATATGGTAGATATAACATTACCATCAACCGAAAAACATCCTCACATCTTAAGAACTCGGTCCATTTTGTACACATCGCAAGAATAACCAAAGTAACCTCGATATACAATGATCAGTTTGAATGTATTCACTAACGTACCAGCCCTTTAAATATTACAGGTGCTCCGCCAACTGTTTGAAAAAAAAAGTTTTAAACAGTTGACAATCTCTGTGATGATAGAATTGACTATTTTCTGTATCATTACAACTTGCTTTCAACTTAGAGATAAATACCATTTACAAAAATAAGGGTTCATCATTACTGAGTAATCTCTGTATGAAATACTTTACAGATATTTCCCTCAAAACGGTCACTCTAAGCCCCACAGTTTTCTAAGATATGTTGACGATACATTCGTAATGTCGCCACACATTATACAGATAATATCTCAGGATCAGCTAAACAGACAATATTTCTCGATGGAAATGGAAAAAGATAACAAAGTCCTGTACTAAACGTTCTAGTCACCAAGACTCATGACTAACTCATATACCACAGAAGTTTACAGGAAACTCACAGATATGGTAAATACCATGACTAAAGATCAAATCAATACTCTAGAGACGGGCGTAAAAAAGTCACTAGTCTCCAAACTGAAGAAAATGTGTAATATATAAGATGCTACAAGGGATAAAGAAATACACATCGCTATGACCCTCCTTGATGAGGGATAACAATGAAGAATGGTCTACATTTTGAAAGCGCTCTGATTATAGATGTTTTATTTTTTTTTAGTTGATACAAAAGGAAACAAAGAAGATAAGTACGAAGAATAAGAAAGAAGAAAATCAGAGACACACAACAATATTTCATATTTTAAACTCTCTCTGAAACATACAAGTAATGTGCAAAGCATAAAGTCAGAACAATAATCAGAAGTTGAAACACAGTGCATTCGTAGTTAGAACACACCAGTACATCTAAAGACTCAATGGAGAGTAAAACCACCAATTACAATATCTCCTTTTGAATGTAGACTCCAGAACATTGGAGAAAACAAAAAGATCAAAGAAAGTTAGAATCAGGGAACACAACAGTTATACAAGACTCTGTAATACCTATCTATCTCTAGTAATCCATCATGGCAGAAAAAAGAATCTTATAATGAAAACCAAACTAACACTAAAGTAATGAGATATGAACCACGTGTGAGAAAAAAAGAAGATGTTTACATTCAACTAACTGAAAACACGCTCAATGAAATAAGCATATAAGTCAGCAAAACTTGCATGCCTCTTGAAACCAAGTAAATAGTTAATTCAAGGCTGAATGGGTTGATAACTCAGACGAATGGATAATATACCTATGTTTCTAACCACATGGCTCATGCTTCAACATAAACTTCTTCTCAGGACTTCCTTAAATATGACACTAGGTTAGTATGTAGGGGCCCGGCATGGCCAGGTGGTTAAGGCACTCGACTCGCAATTTGAGGGTCGAGGGTTCGAATCCCTGTCACACCAAACATGCTCGCCCTATCAGCCGTGGGGTCGTTATAATGTGACGGTCAATCCCACTATTCGTTGGTAAAAGAGTAGCCCAAGAGTTGGCGGTGGGTGGTGATGACTAGCTGCCTTCCCTCTAGTCTTACACTGCTAAATTAGGGACGGCTAGCGCAGATAGCCCTCGTGTAGCTTTGCGCGAAATTCCAAAACAAACAAACACTAGAATCGATGCAAGTTGCTCTGTTGAAAAGCACCTTTCCAGCATTATTGCAGCTGTAG